GTCTCAAGTAGTATATCGTAAGATTCATCAGTTCAGCTTTTAGGAAGAAAAATTTCCTCATGAGGCAGGATTTTCATTTATTTGTCTTCAATCCAACTGATTCAGCTTGGTTACGCTTGTTATAAAGGGTCAATTAATAGCTTTAAACTCAACTAATTCAGGAAACATGCCACTAAGCTCTTGCTTGTGACGAGTGGCATGACGACAAAACCTACATAATGGGGGATTCCTCTGCCAGGAGAAGAGACCAAAAAGTTATCTTCCTTAAAGTCTATTGCAACATTATCCCTGATTTACGAATTACTCAACCGTCCGTTTTAATCCGCCAATAGACACCAGAGGGGAATTTCCTGAAGAAGAAAATGTCGACACAAATAAGGGCTAAGAGTCACTGAGGAGGACAATAAGACGACACCAAATTCTGCGAATAGGACTACCCAGAGTGGAGGGGAGCTAATGCGTTTGAGCTCGCCTGGAACGGAGCAGCAAACCGTCCAGAACTCGACCAGTCGCAAGGAGACAGGATCTCGAAGGCCAGGAGGCCATGTCAACAGTTAGACTTGCAACTACCACTTCCCCAAAACAACAAAGGCACCGCTGATTGGCTGGTTGTGACGCTGGGAAATGCGAGACAAATTTAGGGAAATTCTTGCTTACGGCCTCAAAATAACCATGTTCAGAAGCTTCCTTCTGGTTACATTCTCCACGTGAAAGAAGCCCTTCAGGAATGCTCGCATGCTTTCGTTGTCGAAGTGTCCGCAAACCATGACATGTCTGTAAAAAAGAAAAAGCTCCAAGGCAGTTATCTCAGAAAGTCTGGCTTATAATTTGTTTAGGCTTGTAGCAGCTGAGCAAAACGCAAAATTGTGATGCTGAATAGAGGCATCAATAAGCGGCAAGAATAGGATTATCCTGACCATTCCCCATAGGTTTGGTATAAATCGTCACTTTCTCCGATCAAATGAAGCCAAACCGGTAGCATACCAGGTGCACCAGCTGGCATAACGGAATTTTATTATCTTCCCTCCTCTTCGTCTCAAATGCACAAACTACTTGCCAAATTGACTGGCAAGTAGTGCCTTCCGGGCACAATGTGAGTAGTGGTAAAGCTTGCTCTTGTGTTCTTCCAGCTGGGCCCAGTGGAAGAGACGAGTCTTTGTTGTGTCGGTGTTAACAGGACCGACATGTTCTGATGTAAGCAAAGGCCTGTGGAAGTGAAATAATCAAATTGAAAACATTTTTTTCTGGACTGAGAGGCCTGGAAACAATCATAATACCCATTTTTCGGAGAAATTGGCACCCTCAGATGTCTTGATTTTTCAGAAATTATGTATTTGATTCGGCTTCTAATTTATCATTTTAAAGCTGACTTTCGCTTTTTGTAAGTGTATATGTTGTAGATATTCGTAGGTCTATCACATCAAAAGCAGGCGGCCTCTTATGTGATTTTATTAGGAAATCCATAGTCGCGTATCCCCACTCTCTATTCAGTTATGGAAAAAAGTGCTGAGTTTTTGTCTGGCTTATCAGTTTACATAAATCTCACAGACCTGTTTCGCATTCTTATAATGACTTTTAGTATGCAGTGAGCGAAGAAAGCAACACGACAGAGGGCAGATAAACTCACGTAAACAAATGGATTCTACATTTAAAAGGCGTTTTGTTAGACCATTTTAATTTCTATCAATGCGTAAACACATTTTGGTGCGGTTCCGAAACTACATTTAGATTTGTGAGAAATTATAAATTAGACCTACATTGCTCCCAGAGTAACAAGATTTAACTAACTTATTAAGGCATGGAAAAGCATCGCCATGATCACGAAATGTCAAGACATGTAAGTTTGAGTTGTTGGGCGTTTAGTGAAAATCAAATTCGTACAAAGTGTGACCTTAGTTAGACGGAAAATTTCAACCATTCAATGTAGCCTAAGGTGATGTAATGAGAGGAAAATAAATCTCCTACAATTAAATGTATCTCATATTGCCTTGCCTCATTATAGGCATTACGCTCCCGGTCGGACTGTGATTCAGACCTCGTCTGGGGATCATCAGCAGCCCAATTGGATAGGACACCGAGTCGCTCTACCACATAGCGGGAGCCATAGACGTAATGGGTCGAATTCAAGCTCTACCTATAGTAGCGAAACCTACTACTCATTGGGTTAAGAGTAGTGCTGATGATTTTAGTGGCAAAATACATTTGTCTCATCGAGGCGATATCGCAATAAAATGAATTGTAGGGAGCCAAGTATGGCATGGAAGTCACTACTGATTAGTGACCAAATGGAACTCGTGTCTGTATGATGGAGTGCAGTTTATTGTCACCAAAGGGATTTGGTCGAGGCCAAAACCACATTCCA